CTGATGTGTCCCATTTAATTTCAGTCCCACCTGGTTTCCCTGGACCTTCCTAATGGCATATTCTAAAGCAAAATTGAAAAGGAGTGGCGATAAAGCAGCTCCCCATTTTAGACCATTCTGGATAGGAAATTTATCAGACAAATGTTTACCAACACGGACTTTACTATACATTTCGTTTAAACAAATTTTAATCAACCTAACTAGTTTCATGGGTATCCCAAACTCTATTAGAATACTCATATTGTAAAATACTTCCCTCCTAACTGAATCATAGGCTTTCTTGAAGTCTATGAATAGCTGATGTACTGTCTCATCGTACTCCCAACTTATATTACTATACAGATTAAAATTAAAAAAATAATGCTGGCAATGCAGTATTTATCCCTTTTGGCTCATGTGCAATGAAAACTTCAGAAAGTGCCTGTATTAGCTCTGCCATGTGTGTCTGTCCATATGTCTGCATGCAATAAAACAAGAACCACTAAATAGATCTTCATGAAATTTGACAAGTGGGCTAGTTTTATTAGTGTCAACATATTCCAATTTGAATTATAGTCTGGCAGGGCATTATAAAAATGCACATCTGCAAGCAACTTGCACAAAATCATGCAAACTTCCTAAATACTTATGAGAAGGAAAACTGCTTTCAACAAATGTTGGCAAACAAAAATGAAACAGACATTTAATGTCCAATACACTTGCCCCGTAAATTGCAGTTTTCAAAATGATGAAATAAAATGGACTTCATGTTGTCTACGCACAATTAGAGAAAATGCACCGCAAATGTTACGTTACGCAAACATTTCCTAAGTTGCTTGAAATGGTTATCATATAGATGTGAAAGTAACAAAGAATAATTCAACACTCACCATGTCTTTAGTACTTTAGTATTATGTGAACTGAGAAGACACAGATTTTCTCATGCTTACACAATCCTTGTGCTTGAAGCTGCTGGCCAGCATTTTTCGATCAAAGATTACAAGGTGCGGCAATAAAGAAACCGGATTCATGAATCCGGATTTATTGAAAAAAATCAGACAATTGAAATGTTATCCCCTTCAATATAGTCCCCTCCCCGATCCCTACACCGCTCCATGCGAATTTTCCACTGTTGGAAGCAGTGCTGCAGGTCATCTTGTGTTATGCTCTTCAAGAGTTGCGTCGCTTTTGCTTTCACTGCATCCACGGACTCGAACCTGGTCCCTTT